TCCAGTTTTCATACATTGCCTGTTGTTTTTACTTAGTCCCTACTTGTCAGGTTGAAAGAGCAAGAAAAAGAGCAAAGAGAAAAAAGAAAAGAAAAGCAATAATAGCAAATACATGGAATAAGTTAAAAGAGGGAAAAACAATAATAGCAAATTCATGGAATAATTTAAAAGAGGGTTCTTGTTCCTGCTTCAGAGGGAGCAGAGATGTTTCTGAATCGTGCCTAACCTGGTTAGAGCACTGTGCCCGGAAGCAAGAGGGACAGATTCAAACCTTCTCTGCGGCGTGCCTAGAGCCTGGCTTTCCTGTTCCCCAGCAAACGCCTCCATCACGGGGCTGTTGGGTTAAAACATGAGAGGACTTCTTTCCCTCACCCAGGAGGGGTTTTTCCCTGCTACAGCTTCAGGTCCTACCCAGCCTTACACTTGTACCTGGGCAGGCGTACACCTGCGTGCCTGCCTGGGCAGAGTGCAGCAAGCTCTGTAGGTGTGTGGACATTTCTGCATCCAAAGCTGAATCTCAAACTGTGCGTAAGCGCCAACAACTGGGGTTGGGGGGTGCCGCTGCCATTCGGGCATGTGAAGTGAAACAGGATTCTGCCCTCAGTGTGCTTGCTCCTGTATTTCCACTTCTTGGCTGGATGCCTAGCCACTCCCACCTTAGCGACTGCATGGGAGCACCCAAATGCTTCTCTGTCTACAAGACATAGTTTTGCGCAAAAACAAAACTGAAGTTATGCTGGTGGAGAGCGCCCCACCACGGGAAGGGTCTCTTGGCACAGGGCGGAGCAGCAGCGGGCAATTTGCTGCAACTCATGCCGCTCACATTTGTCTTTTGTGCCTGAAGCTTGGCTTTGATTTATATTCTAGGCAAGAAACGAGAGGCTGAGAGTGCGGAAAACCTATCCCTCTGGCCACCAAAGCCAATGCGATCCATGCAGAGGGACTGGCCCAAGGGCTGGCTAGGTGCTGCAGAGAGGAGTCTGCAAGCCATGGCTCAGCCCTGCAGGACAGACCCCGGGGCTCCAGCAGCCCCTACCAGGTGCTCGGCAGGTTGAGGTGCATCTTGCAGCCCCGTCTCCCCTGGGCCCAGAGCTTGGGGCTCCCCCCACACCGGTTATGAGCACGGACCCATTTTGTCTGATTTAAAAAAAAAAAAAAACCTCCCAAATTTTCTGGTTTAAAAAATGACCCAAAATCCACTTTTCCCCATGATTAAAATGAAACACCACAAATGTGTGTGTGTGTGTGTGTGTGTGTGTGTGTGTGTGTAGTCATGCAGTATGAAAGTCAAAAAGCACCATTTCATTCATTACTACTGGTATAGCTTTAATTGAAAGATAAATGACAATATTTAATAGTAAAAGAAATTATTTAAAATCATTTCTAATGTAAGGTAGATAAGATTTTTAGATTATATCAATGAAACCTTAGTCTGTTTTAATGTCGACCTGCTTTATTGGAATTGTTTATGTTAAAAGAGTACTTCATTTTGAATAAAAAAGTGGAGGGGGGTTGTGTACACACACACACACACACACACACACACACACACACACACTCTACTTTTTAAATTCAAAATGAAGTAATCTTTTAATTTAAACAAATAACATATCTATATCTATATCTATAGATATAGATACATATAGATATATATATGCGCCCCTATATTTTTAAATATATAAAGTGTGTGTGTGTATGTATATATATTCAAAATATTGTTAAAAAACCCAAAATCCACATTTTTTCCATAACTGGATTTGGGGTTATTTTTTAAAACCAGAAAATTGGGGAAATGTGGATTTTGGGTGTTTTGTTTTTAATCAGAAAATTTGGATTTTTTTTAATTTTTTTTTTTTTAAATCAGAAACCCCCCGGATACCGGGCCCAGGCCCCGCCTTGCCCCTGGGGCACCCCTGCCCAGCACCTCCGCCTCCCTCGCCTGGCCCCGCCCCTAGCCCAGTCACGCCCCGCCT